CAGAGAACTTTCATTGCTGATTTATTTTTCATTACAACTTACTCTATATATGATGTTGTATTTATACACAATTCTTAGACTAACAAACTGTCAACTCTGTTATAGATTTTGTTGAGCTGGATAGGAGTTAGTTACAACAGTTTCACATGTGTTGATCAGTTGGATTTGGTTGAGCTGCTGCAGTGTGTTGAGGTTCATTGTAACTAACAGTGAGGAAGCTCAATTGGTTAATACACCCCCTCAAACTTATGGGGGGGGGAACAACCATAAGTTTGTCTCTGAGCATCAAAAACCTAGTTGTGGGAAGACTTTTGGTGAAAATATTAGCTAGTTGATCCTTGGTAGAGATATAATGGACTACAAGAGATTTCTGAGCTACCCTCTCACGAATAAAGTGAAAATCAATCTCTATGTGTTTGGTTCTGGCATGGAATGTTGGATTTGAGGCAAGAGCCAAAGCAAAAATATTGTCACACCAAAGCTTGGGAGGAGAGGAAGGTTGAATATGAAGACTCTGTAGTAGTTTCTGTACCCAAATAACCTCAGCTGTAGTATGAGCAGGTGCTCTGATTTTTCCTTTGTGGATGATCTGGAGACAGTCTGCTGCTTCTTAGTGGACCAGTGAATAGGATTATCACCCAGATACAGAAGAAAACCTGTTGTAGAACTGCTATCATTAGGATCTCCTGCCCAATCAATGTCAAAAAATGCTGAAAGACTAAGAGAACTAGGTTGATAGAGAAGACCAAAGGTACTTGTTCCTTTAAGATACCTGAGAATACGTTTGACTGCCGCAAAATGAATGTCTGGAGGCTGACTCATGTATTGACAGACATGATTAACAGCAAAAGTGATATCTGGTCTAGTGAATGTAAGATACTGTAAAGAGCCCACTAGACTTCTATACAATGAGGGATCTGGTAGAAGAACACCAACAGTCTTGCTAAGTCTAGAGGAGGCTGCAGAAGGTGTTTTGCAAGGCTTACAATCAACCATCTTGGCTTTGTGAAGCAAATCAGTAACATATTTCTGTTGAGTAAGAAAAAGTCCTATAGAGGTGGACTGAACTTGTATTCCAAGAAAGTAATGAAGAGGACCTAAGTCTTTCATCTCAAAAGATTTATTAAGATTGGACTTAAGAGTTTGAATGTATGTGAAATCATTACCAGTGATGATAATATCATCCACATAAAGAAGTAAGATGGTGAGAGAACCTGAAATAGATCTAATGAATAAAGATAGATCAGCTAGAGAAGCATGAAAAGAATAAGTGTGAAGATGAGAAGTGAATTTCTCAACCAGGCTCTAGGAGCCTGTTTGAGACCATAAAGAGATTTGTGAAGTTTGCAAACATAATGAGGAGTAAAAGGATCAAGGAAACCTAGGGGTTGGGTCATATAGACATCCTCATGAAGAGAACCATGTAAAAAGGCAATCTTGACACCCAACTGGTGGAGAGGCCAATTAAAATTTGTAGAAAGAGCAAGAATGAGTTTGACAGTGGCATGTTTCACCACAGGACTAAAAGTTTCACTTTAATCAATGTCAGGTTCTTGATGAAAGCCTTTAGCAACAAGTCTTGCTTTGTATCTAAAGATTGAACCATCAGAATTTTGTTTAATGTGATAGACCCATTTACAACCAATAAGATTCTAATGAAGAGATGGTGGAACCAAGGACCAGGTACCTTGCTGCTGCAATGCAGAAAACTCTTCGGACATAGCCTATCTCCATTCAGGAGACTTGGATGCTGAGGTAAATGAGGTAGGTTCAGCCAAAATTGTAGTAGTTGAGTAGACCTTTGGTTTGAAAATACTAGACTTAGATCTTGTTGTCATGGGATGAGTAGAAGGAATTGTGACTAATGGAGGTAAAACTGGAGGTATAGACACTGAAGACTCTGTGAGTACAGGACTCTGTGATGTAGTAGGTGATACGACATTAGAAAAAGAAGATGGTGGAATTGAACTTGAAGATTGAGAGGATTGTTGGACTGAAGATAAATGATTAAGAAGAAAAGGAGACACATCATGCTGGACAGGGGAAGGATGTGGTCCCAACACTGAGGTTAGAGATGAGGATGTGTCATTAGAAGAAGAAGGCAACCAATGATCAAGATTAGGAGGGGTAAATTGTAGAAAGTGAACAGAATCAGAAAAGGGAAACAATGTTTCATCAAATATTACATGTCTGGAGATAAAGATCTTGTTGGATTTAGGATCATAGCAGAGGTAACCTTTGTAATCAAAAGGATAACCTAAGAAAATGCATTAGGTTGTTTTAGGTTGAAGTTTATGGTTGTTATAAGGTTTGAGAAGAGGATAACATGCACATCCAAAGATTTTAAGAGTTGAATAATCTGGTTTGGTGTGATAGAGAAGTTCAAAAGGTGACTTGGATTTTGTAGTTTGACTAGGCATTCTATTGATGAGATAAGTGGCTGCAGCAAATGCATGAAACCAGAAGGATGGAGGCAAAGATGTTTTAGACAAGAGAGACAAAGCAGTTTCAGTAATATGTTTGTGCTTCCTCTCAGCAATGTCATTTTGTTGATGGGTGTGAGAACAGGATTTTATATGACGAACATCATACTGACTTAGATAGTGCTGAAGCTGATGACCAATATATTCACCACCACCATCAGAGTGAAACACTTTCAATTTATGAGAAAATTGATTCTCAACATAAGGCTTGAACTTGGCAAAGACAACAAAGGCATCAGATTTATTTACTAATGGAAAAATCCATGTAAATCGGGTACAATCATCAACAAATGAGATGTAATATCTAAAACCATGAAGTGAAACATGAGGTGCAGGCCCCCAAATATCACTGTGTACAATCTGTGAAGAAGACATATAAAAAGACTTAGAAAGAGAAAAAGGAAGCTTAGACGACAGTGTTCACAAATACATGAAGTAGATTTACCAGAAGAAGTAGGTAGATTCAGTTGAGAAAGAATCTTTTGCTGAACGAAAGTAGATGGATGCCCAAGGCGATCATGCCAAGACTAATCAGTGATCCTTGTGTCAAGATATGCAGTAAGAGAGGAGTTGAAATTAGTGAGAGCATTGATGGGATACAAGTCATTGCTACTCTGACCTTTGTAGAGGACTTGCCCTGTGGCTTTGTCCTGAATGACAAAAGAAGTAGCATCAAATATGAATTGACAATTATTATCAAGACATAGTTGTTTGATAGAGATGAGATTTGTAGCAATTGAAGGTACTCGAAGGACTTTTTTAAGTTTGAAACAGTGAGAAGGAGCTTGAAGAAGAGATAGACCTGTATGAGTGATAGGTAACTCATGTCCATTTCCAATAGACACTTTGTCTTCACCAAAATAAGGAGAAGCAAGAGACATATCTACAAGGCTTGAAGTGAGATTATGGGAAGCACCAGTATCAATAAGCCAAAAATTTGGACTCTGTTGACCAGATGTAGCAGCCATAGTAGTCTAGGGTGAAAATTCAAGTGTACAGTCATTGGGATTGAACTGCTGATTAGAAGAATAGTCTAAGGTAGCAGTCATAGCATTGAATGAAGCTGAGGATTGATGATTTTGGCCCTGATAAGCAGTATTCATGCGATGATAACAAATTGCAGCATTATGACCAATTTTGTTACAGATCTAACAAGTAACTGGTGGAGATCTGTTTTGGTTGTATTGATTTGAGTTAGACCTTTGCTGCTGTGTGTTGAATCTATTATTGTAACCATTCTGATTTCTGCCTCCTCTGTTACCATTACGACCTCTGTTTCCTCGTCCTTGACTTGAGTAGTTTCTACCATTGTTGTTATAAAAGGGCTGTCTGATTTGTGGTGCCATCATGGCAGTAGGATTGAAATAACTCACTTGTGACTTTGAGTTGACTTTGATGGATAGTTCTTCAGCCTTAAGAAGAGAGTGCAAATCTTCCAAAGAAAGTGATTGTGATCTGGTTCGAATTGCAATTCGGAAGGCACTGTACTCAGCTGGCAATCCATTCAAGGTGTATATAAGCAGATCTTCATCTTCTACCAGAACTGAAACTGCTGCAAGCTTATCTTGAGACTCCTTTATTTTCTGCAAATACTCATCTATGGATTCTGTTCCTTTCATAATTGTTTGCAAAACAGTCTTAAGCTGTAAAATATTTGCTCGAGATAAAGAAGAAAACCTTCTTTCCAAAGCTAGCCAAACTTCTCCGGAAGTTGTGTATCCTATAACATGTGTAATAGCTGACTGTGAGAGAATAGCATTTATTAGTGTCATTAGTGCTTGATCTTGGACAATCCACTGCTGATATTGTGGATTGATTTCGGTAGTAACTGTACCATTTCCATCAAAAAGAAATTGCACTGGACATGGATTTAATCCATCAAGAAAATTGAAAAGAGAATGAGCACGTAACAGTGCAGAGATTTGAAATCTCCATAACACATAATTTGTAGAATCCAGACGAAGATATATCAGGTTACAAATGTTTGATAGAAGGTAGATAGGAGACTGAGATGAAACTGTGTTTATAGTAGTTGAAGATGAAGAAGAAAATGATGAAGGAGAAGTACCTACTGAATTTGTTGCCATTGATACAAACGTTTGTCTAATTTACAACTCTGATACCATGTTGAAATACACAGTTTCAGAAAGATGAAGAAGATGAAGACATAGAACTTTCATTGCTGATTTATTTTTCATTACAACTTACTCTATACATGATATTGTATTTATACACAATTCTTAGTCTAACAAATTGTCAAATCTGTTACAGATCTTGCTGAGCTGGATAGGAGTTAGTTACAACAGTTTCACATATGTTGATTAGCTAGATTTTGTTGAGCTGCTACAATGTGTTGAGGTTCATTGTAACTAACAGTGAGGAAGCTCAATTGGTTAATAATAAATGAATTGAATATAAGTTGGTATATTTTGACACACCACAATTTACGAGACTTAAAAATACGATATGACATGATCCAGTGACAGCCCTAGTTGAGAGAGAGAGAGAGAGAGAGATATGAATAGCTTATGGCTCAAATAGATAGGTCAGAGGCCCGGGATAAAAGACCAAGAATACAGACTTACAGCCCAACTAGCATTTCAATGCCCATTTTCTGCCATCAGTGGTCAGTGTTGTGTTGCTCATCCACCATTGCCACTTCCTGAATTCGTCAAATTAGGGCATCACAGCAAACAGTTCTGAACAAGTCCCAAGCCCTCTAGAATCAATCAGGTATTTCTCATTTCGACACACACACACACAGATATGTGCTTCTACATAAATCATACTTTTTCGCTGCCTTTATACATAAATTTGTGTATGATTGTTGTTGAAGTTTTAAGTTTGGATTTTAGGGATCAAGGGTTTCTGGGTTTGGCTACTTATTACCAGTTTTTTTGGAACTATGTCTTAGTTGAGGCTATTTATTTGAGTAATTTCCGTGTCTGTCTGAGAAACTTGGTACAGTTTGGTGGCTTTTATGGAAAGTACTTGGTGTTATTTTAAACCAGAATTAGGTTGGTTTTGTGTGCTTAAAAAGTAAGAGAATGTGTTCTGTATGTGCAATTAGAAGTGCATCTTGCTAAAGCTGACATCGGGTAGTCATTTGAGAGGAGGATTTTCCACCACATTAGGTGGTTGTGACCAGTTTTGAGATGTAGATCGCATCTGAATCGGAAGAAATCATGGCAAATTGCTCTGGATAACTCCTTAGATCCTGACAGTAATTGGAGTTCCTGATAAGAACTAATTGGCAATCAAGGGAGCACTAGAAAATTAAGTGGTAACCGAGTGTTGCATGGATTAGACTAGATCAGCTATCTTCAACTGTGAGAAGCATAATTAACGTCCCTTTGAATTTTGATGGTACTCCATTGCATTGGACTTGAAGTAAGAATTTATTACCCAAAATAGGGTCACAAAGGTAAGTAGAGGAATTCACTGTAATTTATGTGAGCAGTAAGTATTTGCAAATACTGATTTGGAGATGCCTACCACTGTCCTTTTGTTTCCATTCAGAATGAAACATTTCTAATTGATTTCCATGTAAAGTGCTCTAGGTGCCTGGATTTGAAGGGGAAGTGAAGGAAAAAATATCTTTGGACACCTCAATTAGGTTTCAGTTCTAATTACAAATATTCATGGGGGGGTTCGTTACTGATTCATTGAATGAAATGTTATGTAATCCCAATGGAGCTCGTTTCATTGTTTAATGTTTTCCTGTGGGTTGGTGGGAGGCTTTACTCTTCTATCTGTAAGGTATTGCTACTTCACAATTATGTTACGGCGTCTGTATGAGGATGATAGACATGATCTTTTGATAAAATTGCATAATTGTTACCATTAATATTTGCTAACTTTTGGTTATTGTGTAAAATGTATGATGCTTTTTATTATCCGTAGCCATGAAGGTGCGATCATCGGTGAAGAAGATGTGTGAGTTTTGTCGGACAGTCAAACGTCATGGGAGAGTATATGTACTATGCTCAGCCAATCCCAAGCAGAAGCAACGGCAGGGCATCTCAACATTTGCATATGAAGGGCAACTGCCTCCTGCGTATGTATAATCATGCAGTCTCATTTTGTCTCTTTTTTATGTTAGTGTTCATCTGTACAAGCATGCACACATATACATACACGTCCGTGGTATATTATGGGTGAAAGCACTTAGATTCAGGTGCCAAGGAAATAATTGTGATTTAGGAAATGAAACTGCATGACTTTTAGAGTTATTTGTAGTAGAAAGTGGTGAGAAAGATAGCACATTACTAACTCTCATTTCATTTTTTTCCGAAAATTCTAAATAGGATAATGATACAACCTTTAAGAGGAAAAAAGACATGCACATAATGTGATATTGAGGTAACCTTTACATGAGAAGCATTGGTGGACCTTGGGAACTCCATTGTATCCCAAGTTCTTCTTATGAATGTAAGGTTCTTTTGTACTCCTCGGAGAATGGAAAGTTTTCTGTTTTGTGCAGAATATATAATGTCTAATGTGTAAACAGTTATATTTGCCTATTTTCTTCGTTGTCAAGGTAATGCTTGAAAATTTTTGTTTCTTGTCAATTCTATCATTGTGATTTTGTTAGTCTGTTCTTGATCTTCGTGTCAGCAAGTTTGACTAGCAACTTCATGTCTCTCTCTCTCTCTCTCTCTCTCTCTCTCTCTCTCTCTCTCTCTCTTTGTGTGTGTGTTTGGGATTGATTGTCAATTCCTTTTTTTTTTTCTGGGAAGTAAAGACGGATTTTCTTCTAAATGCTGTGCTGGGATTTGCATTTTGTCCTTATATCTATGCCAGGTCCTTGGAGGCGAGTGTCAAGGAGGAGGCTTCACTCAGTCATTTGCGTGCTGGTCTGCCTTCTCTTATACCTGAAAAAAAAGAAGCCTCTGTGATACCTTGGTGGGCAGTGGGCTTGGCTTCTGTTCTATTCAATCAAAGGCAATAAGCTGTAGAATACATGGATCAACAAATTCCAACTTAACTCTTCAACAGATTGCATCTGTTTCGCCCTCCTTCAATTTTGTCTTGCAGTACCACTTATTGATGTTACTTTTTTGCTATATGTTCTCTCTACTTCTCTCCTTCCCTCCCCCCCCCCCCCCAACTTTAGGGAGAAACGAATATAGAGCATAAAATACAACCGGATGTGCTATTCCAATTATTACCCATATTTGGACACCTCCAACTTTCCGAGTAGGACTATTAATGGATCGTGTAATGCTGTGTTTATATCATGTCGGATTTGTATCATATATAAGTCGTATTAAATCAATATATATTCATCATGTTTGATCTGTTTTGTGTTGACTTATTAGTAAATGAGTCAGGTGAGTCAAATAATTTGTAACCTGAATTAGTTAAAGTTAAAATTTACCAAATAGTGCTAAGAATTATCAGGCTAACCTTCATAGCTCCGGTAGTTATTATCGGTGTTTCAAAACTTGGCCTCTCCCGGCAGGTCAACCTGGTAAACCGGTCTCTTAATCGGGCTGACTCTATTAAAAGACCGTTTATGTAAAGAACCCAAGATAAACTCATTGAACTGGTCAAAAATGGGTAAAGTTGTGAGAACTGGACGAGTTTATCAAACCAGCTGGTTTAATTTTATTTGCATAAATTTGAAATTTTTTTATCATTTGGGCATTTTGTGTTTTTTTACACTTTTGTTTTGCCCTAATCGTTCCAAACCAGCCGACACAATCGACTGAGCAATGAGCTGCCTCCACCACCAACGACTGAACAGCGATCAACTCCAGCAGCGATCACTAACGATCCAAAGTCCAGTCAGCGACCATTGATTCCAACTGGCAATCCTGTCGACTTTAGTAATTCCAGTCCAGTGAGTTTCTCTCCTTCTCTCCCCATTTTTCTCTATCTCTTTTGTGCTTCAATCCATCAAGTGAGTTTCTCTCCTTCTCTGCCCCTTTTTCTCTGTCTCTTTTGTGCTTCAATCCATCAACTTCCAGTGGGTATGAGATTGACAATAGAGTGGTCAATGATCTGATAATAGGCGTAGTCTTTCGGCTGTGATGGAAGTGATTTTATGTCCTTTTAATATGCAGGTAATCGGTAGGGAGAAATCAAATATTTGATTATACTTTGTGTTGAACTCTTTAGAATATGTATAGCATTGGTATGTTCAACTCTTTAGAAACTGTGTGGCCTTGGTATCCGGCAACGTTAGTTACATTCCTATGGTTGGAAGTGATGATAGTTCAATTCTTATGCAGTTGATTTCAAGAACTATGCAATTAAGAGCATATTTGATTTGATTAACAGCATATTAGGCAATTGTATTGAAATTGAATGTATTGGTTTGATAATTTTTGGGTGTTTGTTTGATTTAATATATATTAAACATGTTATCTTTATAATTAGTATAATTATTTAGCTTATTTATCATCATTAATATTTTTTTTTATTATATCACCAATGACCCAGTAATTAAACCAATAAGTCATTGACTCGGTTCCTTTGCCGGGTTATTACCATTCTAAACATTTTTTTTTGTAATGGGGCAGCCCGTGTCCCGTGATGCGCTATGTACCAATGAAGACGATTTTCTGACACTAGCTGGCTGCTTCAATTATTAGACTGTCAGTTGGATTTTGTGAGATTACCGTCCAACCAGTACATCTATTTGATGAGGACGTGACTAAGGTTTTTTTTTTTTTTTGTTTGTTAATTACAGACTGCTCAGCCATGAAGGTCGACCACAAGGTTCCAAAAAAAACACATGAGGGTCGACAAACCCTCTCTAGATCTGTACCTGTAGATGCAGGGTTTGACTTCTCTTATTTTCCCATAGTAGTGCGACCAAAATAAAAATTAAAAAAAATTAAACATTATTCCAATTACATGATGTTATTATTACATTGAACATCTATTATTTCAATTGTATTTCTAGATGACGTGTTAGGGCTAGTAATAAGTTGTGCCTCGTCAGTCCTATTAAAGTTTACTAAATACATACACGATCTACTATATCTTATGTATGGTTAGAATTGTATGGTGTACAAGTCATGTATAATTAAATTTACATTGATCTGATTATTAATTGAGTTAATATATAAACTTGTACCTAATATACTTTTATATTTAATTTCAAATTGAATTGAGAGATCATATCGCAAATTATTGACCCTAGCTTACAGATAATGAATTCTAGGCTGTTACATCTAAATTTGAAGTGAACCCAAATTTTTTCCCTCTTTTTTTTCCAACGTCGAATTAATTTACACGTATTTCAATTAATTTTTTTCCTAATTCGGTAAAAGGCAGATCATCCATGCCTATACTAAGATATTCATGAAGGATAAAAATATCTCATAGCCTGACCCAAAAGATTGTCAAACTTCGAACTTAAAATGTCTAAGTTTAAAATTTGTTTCTACTACCACTTGACCTATATGATTAATTTTTTGACTTTTTTATGTATAAAGAGCTAAGAAAGAATTAGACTACCTATTCATTTCTTGGACTATATCACTTTATATCTCGAAAGATATTTTAGTTTTAAATTTATACCCTTAAATATTAAAAATTTTAATTTATACGCTTAATGTTATGAATTTATAGTAATGTGAACATAATTTAAACTATCATTCAATTTTTTGTCATAAATTGAAAAACGTAAATTGCAAGTTCTTCGTGAATGGACTTATGTATAAATTTACGGATTATTATCACATCATGTGAGTTACACATGATAAGGTTAACCTTTATCGGATTAGTAAAACCCTATTTTCAATACATAAAATTATGAGTGTTCAAATTTTTGGTTAACCTCAATTTTTGACCTTACTCTACCCTATTGAACGGTTAACCAAAAAATCGGGTAAGAATACGAAATAATCATTAATTTTCGTATTATTATCCTACTTTACTCTCATTAATTAATTAATATATATATATATATATATAAACTGAAAACTCTAATTCCCTAACCATATGGTTTAAATTTAAAATAATTGTTATTATATTTGTTCAACAATTATGATGAATTGATATTTATACTTTTCATGTGTTTTATTATAATTGTTGTTGTAATTGTTTTAGATTTTAGTATTATTGGTTTATTGTGTTGTTAAGTTGGTACATGTTATTTAATTAAATTATTAAAATAATTCAAAAATTAATAACTACAAAAGTGTTCATCCGATTTCCTACTTGACTTCTTACCAGATTAATTTGGACGAAAGTCGAGTAGAAATACCACAATTGATCGGATAGGGTAAATCAAGGAAAAATTCTTTCGCAAAGTATCAAGTAGAAAGACGAAAATCTATATTTCCTACCTGTTGGGTATGATGAACACCCCTACACAAAATGGTATCAAAATAATTTTATACAAATATCTGTAGTGATGGACATATCTTATCCTGATTCTACAAGTACTTATACCTTACATACTTCAATTTATAACAAAAAATTGAATGATAATTTAGATTAGGTTCACATTGTTACTAATTCATCACATTAAGGAATATAAATTAAAAAATTTTAATATTTAAAGGTATAAATTAAAAATTAAAATACTTTCGGAGAGTATAAAGTGCGATTAGCCTTTATTTCTCATGGACATTATTCTAGTTTTACTTTTTGGCATAGAGGGCTCCCGTGGGAGGCTGGCATTGATTGGACAATGAAAGAGGGAGTGATTGATAAAGATTTAAAAAGTGAAGAGACACTTTAAAAAACAAAAACAAAAAAAAACGAGTGAAGATAACTACTGAGCTTAAATGCATACATCCTTTTGGATAACGAAGAGTCGCCATCTTTTTTTTTTTTTTTTTTTATGACAATGGATGAATGCACATCCCCGGTGGTAATGTCAAATGCAAATATTAGATTTAAATTTGAAGGCTTATTAGGTAATTTGACATTTGGTAATTAACATCTTCCCCGATTATTCCAACCGATATGTCAAGATATATTATTTAATCTAATTTTTTTTCAAGTCTATTTCTTAATATTAATTTAATATATATATTTAAAACAAATTTTAGGATCAATTAAAAAAAATATTATTTAAAATTAAATATTTTAAAATATTATATAATGTATATGAAAAATAATATATATTTTATTGAAATGACAATTCTCATTAACTTACCTAATACAAATTTGAACAATAATTAAAAATACAATTTCAAAAATAAAAAAAAAAGAATTTGGTAGTTTGGTTGAAGGCTGTCAAATTTGGTAGCATGCCTTTTTTTTTTTTTTTTGAGGGCTTAATCAGCATTTGAAACTTCGGGTTGGAGGAGTGCTGCTGCCAAATAAAGCTCTTGGAACTGTCCACCTGAATTTTGAAGCTTCAATTGGAGCTGCTCTTAGCTTTAGGGTTATATAGTGAGTTTTATTAGCTTACGGGTGAAGGATCATGAAGATAGAACTCCATTTTTTTAACTAATAAAAAAAAAAATAGTAAACAAGCAATTCGAAAATAACATGTTGAACTAATATGAATAATAAATGATTTGAATTATGATTAAACACGAATAATATAATTTTAATGTTATAAATCCGTTTGATTGCTATTATATGTAGAAAATGTATGATTTTTAATTTTTTTATTTCTTTGTCAATATTTTATCCCTTTTCAAAAGAAAAAACAAAGAATCATTTCATCAAGTGGGAGTTGCGGGAGCATCTAGGACAATCTTCTACGGTCAAATGGAAGGTATTTTGTAAGTTGAATAATTTCTAAAATGTTTTTCTAAATTAGTTTTATTAGTATGTGGATCAAAAAAAATTTAAGGACTTACATAGTGTGTATTTGATTGAGAGAAAAAAAAGTTTTGATTTTATAATATCTGGCTAATGAATAATACAAGCACCACACAATATTAACATGAACTTCAAAATGATAGTGTTTAAAAATACACACAAGCCCAAAGTGACATTACCTAAATATTATAAAGATACGACTTGACTTGATTGACGCACCATGTATTTTTTTTTATTTGCAAGAAAAAAAAGATGTTGAAATCGATATCAATTTTAAGTCTTGATTTTGGTACCAAAACTTTAAAATTTTGGTATCATATTGAAATTTATTATATTTGTGGTAATTTTTATTACATTTGTAGATAGTTTTATCATTGTTGTAGTACTTAAAAAAATGATAAAAATAGTTATTAAAATAGTAATAAAACACTCATAAATGTGTTAAAAATTCTCACAAAAATGATAATTTTTTTTTATTTAAGAAAAGTGACAACAATAGTAAAAATATTTATAAAAGTGATAAATCAATCATAAAAATAATAACTTTTTTAATTATAAAATGACCCACAAATATTATAAAAATATTCTTTGAAACGGTAAATTTTAAAAATATGATACCAACTTTTTTTTTTAAATATACCGTAATCAAGTCCTCAACTTTGTGTTAGAATGAATAAGTAAAAAATTTTTACTATGACCCTTTGGTCTAATGAAATTTTTTACGTTGTAAAAATTTTGTTTTCTTAAATCAAGGATTCAAGTTCCTTTCTCTCTCCCCCAAAATATATATATATATATATATATATTGATTAGTGAAAATTTCACTTTACTCTTTTTTTTTTTTTAAAAAAAATTAGAGATAAGGTTCGGATCTTCAACTTAACCATCAATGCTGTTTCAAACAAAAAACAAAAACCTTAACCATCAACGGTATGGAAAGCATTAAATTCTGATGCCAATCGTGGGTGGGTCCAAGATATGGATAAAGTAAGAACTTTTCAACTCTAATGGGTAAAAGTTTTTTATAAATAAGTGAGAGGGATTTCATCATATGGCCAACATCCCTCCTCTCTCCCAAAAAAAAAAAAAAAAACCCAAAACAAAATAAAATAAAAACAAAAACATTTGGACCAAAATTTGACAAATATTTTGCAAATATCATATAACTAGTACTTTGCGTTACACTAATACTTTCAAACATAACTAGTACTATATTTTTATAACATGTCAAATGACTTGTCATATTAGCTACCAATAAAATGTGCTTTCAAATAACAATTTTTTTTTCTCAAAAAATTAATATATGTATACTATTGTGTATGTGAATAATATTTGAAATAAAAATTATATTAAATTATTAATTAATATAAAATTAAGTAATTCAACTTGTGATAGAAATGAATGGTGCGATAGAAATAGACAGAAAAATATATGAGAATAAAATTCAAACTTTCAACTCTCTTATTTTATAGATACTAAAAATATTTTAAAACAATTACATTTAAATACACTTGCATTTCATTTTGTGCTACTTTGATCTCTATTTAGTATACGGTCCAAGAAGGTTAGATGTTAAAATTTTTTAGTATTTTTCTAAGATAAATTATAATGCTTTATTTTGTAAAATGTGATAAATAAGTAATAAGACTATAGTATCATAGAAGTGCAATGTTGAAAGCTAATTGAAACATTAATTTTGACTTGAATGAATCATAAGCATTGATTAAAAAAGTGTAGAGGTCTAGCATTAAAAAGTGATATTTTGATACTATAACCGACCCGATGAATAACGGTAGGGGAGACATAGAAATCAATTTTCATATGAACTACTAGAAAAAACATTAAAAACTTGGGTTTCTGTGCATTATGTACTGATGAACAAGTCAATTACCACTTTGGTGAGTTGAAGAAATATAACATTTTTATGTATTTTTTGAGCATTTTTCGTACGGGTAAGTACGAAATGGAGAGATTAATCTTGGTATTGTCATTACTGTCATGATTATTAACCACTTACCGCTAATGATTAATCACTTACCCACGAAGGAAAGAAGAAGCAAAAAGCAGTTGCGGCGGAGGATTCAATTAGCGCTTATCCATCAAACCCAAGAAAGAGAAGGAAACTTGATCTGGGTCAAAACTTCTAAGCTTCGATTTCTGCTATATACAGATGTGTGTTTATATTTTTTTTATAGTTGGAATCGATTCATAAGCATATGATGTACAGTTCTTTCAGTGGTTGGATCAGTGAGTTTCTTGCTTTCATGGGGTAAGTACTTGAATTTACATTAAGTTTTTTAACAAGAAATTGTTATGTAGTCCGTTTGGTTGCTGAGAAAATATAGGAAAAGGAGAAAAATAACTATTTTCTGTTTTTCTTCCTTAGGAAATTAAATACTTAATGTAGCGCTTCTTTTTGTTAGGGGTGAAAACTGAAGCTTTACTGCTTGAAATATGTGGTTTGATTTGGTTATATTCCATGCAATTTTTTGGGTTTAGGTTCTGTTTGGTTGCTCAGAAAATATGGTGGAAAAGATGATATTTTTTTGGCTGAAAACTGGAATTTTAGCGAGTTTGGGTTTGCAAGCTTGACAAGTGATTATGGGAGCTAGTTCTTGATGATAATGAGTTTGACCTTTGTTGCCTTATGCACCTTCCTTTTTTTTCTTTTTTTCCCTTTCTAACCATTTTGGAAATTCTTTTGTTGGCTTTGGTTGAAAGCTATTGCTTTTCTTTGCTTGCAAAGAAAGTTCTTGTAGAAAATGGACCAAACAATACCCAAGTACCAATTGAATTCGTGAACTTAACTTCTGTACCCATCAACCGTGACAACCACCAACCGTACGGAGCCTGATGAATTCACGCTTTAGTACTCTTGGAAGAAGTAATTTGAAGAAATTTGTCATTCTCCTTCCCCTTATGACAAACCCAAAGGTGGCTTGGATTCAACAGCATCAGTATAGTTTTCTTTCAGTCATTGATGGATGAAGTGAACTATCTTGGCGATGGAAATTTTTTTCCCTTTTTGGTTAGGTTTTTTTTTTGGGTTTGGGGGGGTAAAATAAGCATGTGAATGCCGGTTTTTAGTGCAGACTGCAGAGTTCTTAAGAAGCTATGTGTTTAACGATTGAAGTAACAGGTTCTGGCAGAGCGTTGAGGACTGGGGTGCTTTATTTGACTTAACATCAGTGGCGAATTGAGAGAGGTTGGAAAGTTCAAACAATGAGGAGAACCTATTGTAATTGATGTTTACATTAGCTGGAGAGTTTGCGCTTGTAGAGAGATCGATTAAGTCCTTAGTGGTAAACTAAAGCTCAAAATGCAAGGTTTGGAGGTAGAAAATGCTGCATCTTGAAACTTTAAATAAAATGGATGCAGAAAATGATTTACGCTTTTGGTCAAAATTGTAGTGTGTAGTATCATGTATGGGTTCTGCACAACATGCTTGTTTCCTGCACTATTTTCTTGACCTTGGTGCTGTGGTCATCAACTTGTAACTGGAAATTGTAAACTGCCGAATTGGTGGATTTTTATGTTGATGTATCTTTTTGTTGTTGTTGTAAGATAAAAAGACAGAAGTGAGCTTGTAGTGTATGTGGTAGTTATTTTTGGAGATGTCGTGAATGTGATAAATGAGTTGCTTTTAGGCAATAGAAGTAGCATTGGTTAGTTAATTTGGTGTACTACAGCGAGTTTGCGCTCTTGTCTAGCCGATGGCCGGTGAAGGAAGAATGGAGGGCATTCAATCAGTATATACATTTAGTGCTTGTGAATTTTCTATATCACAAGTAGTTTTACTTATAATTGCCTTTTCAATTGTATATGATGAGCCTCACGGTGTGGTTCCTGTGTCTTAGGAATTCTGTCCTTGGCTCCAAACATCTTTTGCGTTTCTCTTTTGTCTTTTTAGTTTTTATATCTTCTGGATACTCTAGTTCTTTACTAAATCCCTTTGTGTGTTTTTCCCCTGCCCGAGGCTTGGACTACGAGTGAAATTTCAATGTTTTGGCAGTTTTCTTTCCCACAAAACATTTGAGGACTATGCTGGGATACACTTCAGTTGCTTTTAAAATTTTAGATAAATATTTCAGATTTACTGACTGGTTTAGTTTGACTTCACCATAACTAGATCTAAGGGGTCATTCCTTTGTTCAGTTATGAGAAAATGATATTTGGCAGAAAGTACTTTAGTCCTGATACTATTCATATGCATGTGTTTTATTGATGATGTGCCACCACTTCTATTACTGGCCTTAAAGTGGGTTATCTTGCTGCTAGCATTTGTTGTATATGTGACTAAATCTGAATTGTAACAGAGCAGGGGTTGTTTTGGTTGCTATGTGAAATCCCATCCAATTATTGCTGTTGATGAGCCATCAAAGGGACTAAGAATTCAAGGGCGCGTGGTGAACAAACCCAGTATATCAGAAGATTTTTGGAGCACCAGCACATGGGAGATGGACAATAGTACAGTTCAGTCCAAAAGAAGTATATCATCTGTCAGTGTATCAACCCAGAACCTCAGTCAGTACAGTGGCACTGGCAGCACTAGCAACCATTCTGAATTTATAAATCATGGCAAGTTCAATTTTTGTTTCTTTGTTATCTTCTGGCGCAATAATTGGGCTTCCATGTCCATTTAATGGTGAATCTATAATCTGCCTATAATTGATTTGTGATGATACCCATGGAGAAGTAGGTTTTGATGTACCTCATAGAACATCTTGGTTTGATGCAACTTTTTCATGATGATCTGGTGGATATAGTTGTGTTTACAACATCTTCTGATCATTTCCTGCATGGTTTTTCATACTTGTGTAATAATGTTAGTGATCTTCAGAGTTTGTTGGTTGCAGGTTTACTTCACTGGAACCAGACTAGGCTTCAGTGGACTGAAAGTAAAAGGCATGAGAAGCCAAGACGAATTTGGGAACCCATATTAAGGTGTGTATACTGCTCCCTTTTATGCGTCAATCAAACAATTCAATTGGGAATCAGTCATCTGGTAATTTTGTGGAAACGGGGAATTAGTCACCCAAATTGAAGGGTTGGAAGTTGCTTACCGAAGAAAAGATTTTGTTGTAAGCTATACGAATAAAATATGCTTTAGTAATTTGGCAGCTTGTTTTTGTGCAAAGGTAGTTAATTTAATAAAACTTTGTACATATATCTTCTTCAACTCTTCAGTAAGAATCTATTGCTTGTGATTTGTTTCAGCTTTTGTATCTTTTTTGCTTGTTTACTTTATTCGGCTTATATGTTCATCACCGTTGTTTTTATTCATTGTATTATTGTAGTTGGAATGCAACTTATGAAAGCTTACTTGGGACTAGCAGACGTTTCCCTCAGCCAATCCCACTCGCTGTAAGTTGAGCAATTCTTCATTGCTTGTCAAGCTTTCTGTTGCTGCACATTATGATTTCCAACTCTTGTTAACTGTTTAATGGGCCCATTTCCCAGGAGATAGTTGACTTTTTATCGGACATATGGGAGCAAGAGGGTTTGTATGATTGACAATGCTGATCTTGGACAATATTTTAGGTTTATTTATGGGATGTTCTGTAAGTTTTCACTCTTATAGCTTTGGTGTATAGCTTTAGACTTTACAATAAAAAAAAAAAAAGGGAAAGATTAAGTATGAGTGTTTCTCTGTCAATTGCTATGCCCCTCCAACTGTTCTCCCCCCTATTTTTACCTGTATATGGCTATTGAGCATATCCCTCCATTGTATATTCTAAAATATGCAGCTCCATATAGGACCCATGTAAATTGATTACTTGATTGTGCCCAGAAATGTTGGCTGTCTCATTTTAGTTGTATTTTGCATATCTAATACAAGAAGGTATGTTAAAGCGAGCATTTGAGAATCTCGTTTTTCTAACTATACTTTATAAGATATTTGTGTAACTGGGGTCTCATAATACTGATCTACTACCTATAAGATAATAGGATATTTTCAGAGGAAAAAATTTTAGTAGGTATGAGAATAATATCAAGCAGCCAACCAGCAACCAAAATTCATCTCAATAAATTGTACAGTGTTTATTAACTTAGAGTGATAACACTATGTTTCTTATTAATGTTCCTTTGCAGTGCACTGCCTATAATGTATTGTCGTTTCACCACCCAAATTAATTTGCATGACTTCCTTGTCCATATTGTGTCGATATAGAAATTGCATGAATACTTCCAAAATAAAATTGTGAAGAGTTAAGAAATTTTAACACCAATTTCAAAATTATTTCTGCAGTTTTCTTTCCTTTTTTGTTATTCTTTGTGAAATGATATGACTTTGTATAGATAGATGCTGGTAGATGGATAAATATGATCAAAAGAACATATCATGGTTCTGTTGTTTTCAAGGATCGAAATTTCGTTTCGAAGGACCGTTTCGGTCATCTAAATTTCCGAAACGATTCGGAAACGTTTCGGAAATGCAATGGAAACGCGGAAAAAATATGGAAACGCGTGGAAACACAAATACAATCCATTAATCTATATCTATAAACATAAGCTAAATAATTGATTAATTCAACATATTTATTGACTTAACATCCATTTATAGAAGAATAAATTTAAATTGGAGGGAAAAAAAAACTTGACATGAGGCGAAAATCACTTAAATTAGTTTTAAACACTTAAATTTTTATCAAATAAACACATTTTTATATAATATTAAGATCTCATAATACACATGAAATGCTAATGAGTACATACTTACATGGCTACATCCATCCCCCTGTGGAGTGTCGAGCAGGCTCATACATTGGTGTAGGCTCTGGGTAGCTACTTAGAGAAACTCTATATGTGACATAAATATGATGACAATAGTTACTCCAACTCATATTATTACGATAATATGAATTATATTCTCTTCCAAATCTCTGATAGTCTGCAACACTACATCCAATCTGTTGGGGAACGAATGCACCAGTCCCTGACCAATCTTTATCTTGTCTATATGAGGAGGATGTCTGGGAGTCATAGCCAGATCCATAACCATATGTTGAGGATCCATATTCGTATCCTCGTGTGTCATACCCCGATCCATAATCATATGAGGGAATACCATATCCAGAACCATAACCATATGAAGACGACGAACCATAATTATGGTGTTCACTTCCACTTCCACTTCCACTTCCACTTATACTCATGGTAGAAAAACCATCATTAATCATATCAGTTCCATGCCTAATAGCACCCATACCATGTGGAGTGATCGGATTTTGAGTACGCTCACGTTGACAATCTCGAGTTGATTTTGAGCGTCGTTCATATTGAAGCATTCGTCGAGAGCCATGATCTTCATCTTGTGTAGCATGTGTAAATCCTTCCTCTACAGTGAATACAATTCCATGTGGACTTTGGCTCCCCATACCTCCATCACCACCATGGCTATCACCACCACTGTCACCTTCTCCACTACCACCACCACCACTATCTTTATCATCATCTTCACCGCCATCATCATTGCTACCATCACTATTATGATCATCATCAGTACTACTAGTGACAGTGATAGGTTGCTTACGTCTTGGTGGACCTCTCATTAGTCTGTCAAATTCTTCATCATCCATTGCTTTACTTGATCCTCCTCTACTTATTTTGAATCTTGATTTTTGTGGTGGCACAACACCTTGACTTAGGTCTATTCCTCTATCGTCATCGGAAAAACGATTTGCCCACGTCGATAGGAAAGTGTTTGGTCTTGTTGATTGCCCATCATCATCAAGTTCATCTAAAAGTGCATCACCAGGATCATCTAACCACTCTGAAATACCTTCATCTTCGTCAAAAACAGTGGTTAAGTCTATAGGTCTGAATTCATACCCTTTTTTGTCTTTCATAAGGTGCTTTAACTTCAACCTCATGTTATATTGTGCAAACACCAGCCTTTCTAATTTTTGATAATTGAGTCTATTCCGCACTTTAGTGTGAATGAGAGCAAATGTACTCCAGTTTCTCTCACAACCACTAGATGAAGCTGTTTGCGATAATATTTTCATAGCAATCTTTCTCAAATTTGGAGCATCAGTGCCATACATAAACCACCATTCAGCTGCATAATAATAAGAAACATATTAAAACCTTAAAGAAAAATATAAATAGAAAATCATGAGAATAAAATATAAAAGTGTAAATAATCTACTTAATTACCTGGATCACTTTTTGTTCTTCCTCTAATTGCAGCTTGGTCAGCAAAACAATACATAGCCTCCCGAAATATTTTTACCTAAATATCATGGGTATATTGATGTTATATATTAATTCAGCATATTTGTAAATTGAGATTGAAATACTAAAGTATTACCTCTGCAAGTGCTTCAGCAGCCTTGTTTGGATTTGTTTCTAGTCTAGACACAACGATCCGAAGCGAACCCAAGAAATTTTCTAATACACCAACATCTTCTTCATAATGGTATGTGGGGTTCAAGTAATAAGCTACACAATATAAAAAATGATAACACTTATAAATGATAACATTCAAAATGATAACACTTATCAATAATAAAAATATAAATTGATAAACAATAAGTTTACCTGCCATATGAATATGTTGAATGATTTGTTTTTTCCATCGAGCATCAATGATGTCAAGATATTTTTTGCACGATTTAGGAGCCGCATCTTTGACAGCTTGTCTTGCTCGTTTCATTGCTTCATATACATATGGAATTGTTGCTTTTCTTTCCTCATCCACCATTCTTAGAACTTTTGCAATAGGTGTATGCATATTCAACACATTTTTGGCGGTCTCCCAAAATTTAGGATTTAGAATTGTCCCTTGAACTCGCTTTCCAACTGGATCCTTTGCTGCCGCATTCCTAGACCAATCTTCTGAAGTAAACATCCTTTGCAAACCATTTCTCTGCTCCAACATACTTTGTAAGGCAATATAATTAGTGGCAAATCTTGTTTGCCCTGGCCGAATCAATTCCCCCGAACAAAATGTTCGCATTATATCCAAGACTCTATTATGATTATAAATAAAATTTGTCACTCTTTTAGCTTGCTCTAGTACATTTTGAACCGTTTCAATCTTGGAAAAATCATGCAAAATCAAATCTAGAGAGTGGGCAGCACAAGGAGTCCAATATAGGTGTGGTCTTCTTTCCATCAACATTTCACCAGCTTTTTTGTACGCACTGCCATTGTCTGTAATAATCTGAACCACATATTTCTCTCCAATCTCTTCAACAACAGCATCCATCAAACCCAAAATATAATTAGCATCCTTGTCATGACCAGAACTATCAATTGACTTGTGGAAAATAATTTTTCCATCACAATATATCAAGAAGTTAATGATAGATAATCTTGTGGTGGATGTCCATCCATCACACATGATTGTCACTCCATAAATCTCCCACTTCTTTTTGAACTGGTCAATGTACTCTTTCAGCTCATCTATCTCATTATCTAGCAATGGTCCGCCAATCTCATATGGGGTTGGGCCTTTCACACCCACTCCAGCTAAAGCAATTTCATCAATCATCAATTGGTAAAAATGACCTTGAGCTTTGCTTGGTGGAATATTCTCATAAATGAAATACTTTGCAATAGCATGTTTTGCCGACTTTGCCCACTTTTTCGGATTCCACATATGAGTTAGCTTGGCTTGCTTTACTTCCCTATTCCGATACATCGAAGGATCCATCTCTTCTATCGTGAGATCCTTTTCTCTGCCCATCCACTTTTGTGATTTTCTTGAGAATTTATCCCAAGATTCCTTCACACTATGTGAGCGCATTAAACCCTTAGATATACCACTTTTTTGGATAGATGGTCTAGAACTTCCTCCTCTAAAGCCTTGCTCGGCCATATGTATATCACGAATAGATTGTTGTTTTGCATACTCAATATCATCTCTATATTCTATATCCATATCATCATCTGAATTCTCATCGGAAGAATAAATTTCGATACCACTCCTCCGCCTCGATCCACCAATTAAATTTTGTCTCATTTTTCTCCGTTCACCAGTCACTTCTGCATTTTCAGTCTTGTTGCGATTCAAGTAATCCCTCATAGCTTTCGCAATTTCAATAGGACACTTATCACATTGTTCCACATTATTATAACCGTCTGCCAAGTGTTGCTTTAACCGTGACACACCGCCACCCATCATTTTTTTATGGCAAAAATTACACATTACATGTTGTCGATTATCCCCAATTCGTTCGCCGTAATTCCATCCAATATCACGTTCTTTTTTTTTTTTCTGCGATGATTCAGTAGCTATATTCTTTCCTTTTGATGTCATATCTACAATAAATATCATTACGTTATTAAATATATTAAATTAATTTTACAAATTAAATATGACATGTATAACACTTTTAATTCAAATATAATAATATAAAAGAATAATTACAAAAATAAAAAAAATAATGAAGGGTATCAAATTAAATTAATAGTACTTATGTATGCAGTGGGGTATTAAATATAATTACAGTTGGGTGGTAAATGTAATTGTAGTGGGATATTAAATGTAATTACAGTGGGTATTAACTATTAAATGTAATTGTAGTGGGTATCAAGTATAATTACAGTGGATATCAAGTGTAATTACAGTGGATATCAATTGTAATTACAATGGTATTAATTATTAAATGTAATTATAGTGGGTGGTAAATATAATTACAGTGGGTATTAACTATTATATGTAATTACTGTTGGGTATTGAATGTAATTACCGTATGTATTAAATATAATTATAAGGGGTATTAAATATAATTATTTATACATATAACCAAAAAAAAAATATATATATATATATATATATATATATAAGGCAGACGGCATAAATGACTCAGACAACACTCACACCACAGCCGAGTGTTTTGGTCGCAGC